ATATATATATATATATATATATATACACGCCTCATATTCTTGCAGAGTGCCTTAACTCAGACCCTCCCTTTCAAACCAAAAGAAACAAAACAAAACCAAAAAAAAAAATACCCCCCCACGCCGCAAAAAAAAAAAAAATAAACAAACAAACACAAAGTGATTTCGGTAATTATTATTCTACGCTATTCGCCATTATTACTGTAATTGTGTATTTAACTGACTAATACAAATATTGAATCTAGAATTTCTCCATAGTTTTCCAAAATCTGGACAGTGCTAATGATCGTAGAATATATATATATATATATATATATATATATATATATACATTTTTAGCGAAAGTGTATGTTCAGGCATACGTCTGGTAGCCACCACTCGGCTACTACAGGGTGGCTCAGTTTCTTACTTTCTATATTAAAAAACAAATAAAAAAATCGTCTAAAAATGAAACGTTTTTCCAAAAATAATTGGCGGCGAAGGGGTTAAAGTTTCACCTTCCTAAATTATTTTTGAATCATTTCACCCAAAAGCAAGGCACTAAAGCCACTAAGACGCAGTGGGTTACTGAGTGTGAAAGAATTTGAGAAAAAATATTAAGGAGCGATGACAATAAAAGAACAGGAATTCAGAAGACATTTGACGACGACTGGCATTGCATTGAAATTTCTGAAGATCAACGTTGATTGGAAAGCAAGAATCCAGAAGAGATTTCCACAAGCGACAAGTACATGAAAGTAAACTGTTAACATAGAAAATAGAGCAATTTCAACTGTAAAGTGATGAGACCTAACTGCCAATCTAGTACTGCACCTAAATTAGTAAAGCTGACGTAGCAAAGAGGAAAGCTCATCAGAACAATTAACATGAAAATATTCATAGTTACACAAGTTGCATAGTAATGGCCATTATTTCCAATTTAACTGCAAACAAGATTGTTCTCATTCTCTTCTGAACTTAGAGACAGAACGAAACATTCTTATTTGCATAAGTTCAAGGATTTTTATTCAAGGTCGTGGCTTTCTTGGGGGTACCTTATCTTCCAGCCAAAAAAACAAAAACAAAAAAAAAAACATCTTCACAGACAAAACAGCGCAGAACTCTCTCTACCTTTAAAGCTAAAACGCGCCTTGCCACATCCACAGAGTTGAATCAAGCCCATTCCCCCCATATATCATAAATAAGAAGGAAGTTCCCCCCAGACGTCATTTTTCTAATTACCGTTACTTCATGAAACAGACTCCCACGTAGGATTCTTTATTAAACACCAGCTTCGCCTCTTCATATCTCGTGTCACTCATTATCCATGCTACATACTTTTAGATTCTTCGCTTTCTAATTCTTCCCCTGACATTCATATCACACAACTCATTCGGTAAACGTCTACCTTGGGTGGCTCTTGAGCCTTGTATTGAGCCTTGTATTGGGTTAACATTACTGAAAAAAAGTGAACTATTTTTTCTTGGAATCAGAAAATAGATTTGGTCACATTTTAATTTTCCCAACAACATATGATCTTCATTGAATTGCTTCTCAGACTCTCTAACACCCGAATACACTAATTAGAGCTAACTTAAATCAAACCCTTAAGCTGTTTATACAGAATTATCCAAGCTGATCTTAGTCGGATTTCAATCACTTATTGTCACAGATTACAATTTCCATTAGGGGATAACAGAACATAGCATTCTCTTTCTCGCCGATAGATCTCGTATCCATTAATGCCATATCATTTGTGATTTGGCGCCTATCATAGCCAGCGTCCTTAGATTGCCTGTCGGATTGAACACTCTGCTGTCAGTTATGAAACTGACGAAAAATTCGGACCGACGAGTGTCTGTTTACTTGCCCAATCTCCTTTGCTGTACCGTAAATTTGAAAAAAAAAGTGCGAATTGAACCAGAACTATATTCTGCACTTAAAATGTATTCCTACGCATCTGCTTGGAGACTTGATTCCGAGTATCATCAATAATTTTTGACAAGTGAATCTTTTAACCTAATTTTAATTGCTTTTCAGTGCAACAATTCAGACGGTCAGTCTACAAGATGAAATAATGAAACTATTTAAAATTATCTTTAGATGAATCATTGTCAGTCATTATTAAATTTTGACTCGTATTTCTTACATTCTCAATTATTGCTTTATCTCTACTAATATTATTATTAGTAGTAATATTATATTGAACTTTATTATTAGATAAAACATCGTCAGCTATTATTATTTTTGGACAAATATTTTCGTCTGAATTTCACTGGCTTTATCTCCATTTATTAGTTATAATATCTTGAATTTTCTTATTAGATGAAGCATTGTCAGCCATTATTCATTTTCGACTCGCATTTCATTTATCCTAATTTCAGTTGCTTTAGTATTCTTCTTTCTTTTTGTTATGGCCCAGGTTAGGACCAAGGAAGAACAACACGAACACAAAATTAGAAATAACGAAGGTATATTACACGAAATGATAATACAAGATGTGGAAGATGTTAGCATGACTGTCAGTCTGGTTTGGAGTGAACTACTATCGGCTCGATTCGGTATCTAGCCACACAACCACGAGGGTTGCATGTGGCACAATGCCGAGTTTAACGTGGGTTTCCCGAGCCCGTAGGCTCGGCCAAAAAATGCCCGTATAACCCATATAAACGGGAACGGGTTGGTCAACCTCCCCGAACGAGACTCTGCCCTTCGGCGGAGCCTCGCCCGGGTTTCTCTCTGCTCAGAGGCAGAGACTTCGACCGTCAAGCCAGGAAGCTCGGCTAGATTCGGTATCTAGCCACCCACCCACGAGGGTTGCATGTGGCACAAGGCTGAGTTTAACGTGGGTTTTCCGAGCCCGTAGGCTTAGCCAAAAAATGCCCGTAGAACCCATATAAACGGGATCGGGTTCGTCAACCTTCCCGAACGGGACTCTGACCTTCGGCGGAGCCTCGTCCGGGTTCCTCTCTGCTCAGAGGCAGAGAGTTCGACCGTCAAGCCGAGAAGCTCGGCTTGATTCGTCCCTCTCTCTTGAGAGGCGTAGTACACATAGTGTTAGCAAGAGTTCATTCTGTAGTTATAGGTAAGGACACATGACACTTTTTATGTGTCATGTTCTTTCAGGACGTAGGCGATCATGGTTCTCCACCTCCCTCTATCCCTTGCAGCTCTCAGCAAGTTCCTTCCCCCCACTTCCTCCCCCAGACCACGTTCTGTCATCCACTTGCCCGTTAGGTATGTCATACGTTGTTTTTCCTTGTCTCTTTTTCCTTCTATTCGACCCGTGAGTATCAGAATCTCCAAGCCCTCCTTCCTCATTATGTTTCCCAGAAACTTCAGCTGCCTCTTCCTGATATTAAGTATAAGCCTCCTCCGAGTTTGCAACCTCTCTAATATCTCAACGTTGCTCACACACTCGGTCCATGATATCCTTAGCATCCTTCTGTAGAGTCACATCTCTGTCGCCTCGAGTCTCTTCTTCATCTTCGAGGAAATCGTCCAACATTCGCTGCCGTAATGAAGGACAGAAGTCACGTAACATCTCAGTATTCTTTTCTTTGTTACCAAAAAAGTCCTGCTGTCTCTCAATACTCTGCTCAGCTTTTGACCATCCCAATACGTCTACGGATCTCAGTGTCGCACTTACCGTCTTCTAACAAGACGCTTCCCTGATATTTAAACTTCTGCGTCTGCTTGATTCTAGTGTTCCCGACCTGCAAATCGCGTTTCCAACATTCGTTGCTATAAAGAAAGACAGATGTCACGGAACAGTTCACTATTAGTATTAGTAGTAGTAATATTATTTTGAATTTTATTTTTACATGAAGAAGTATTGTCAGCCATTATTAGTTATTTTTTAGTATTTATTTCGTCTTAGTTCACTTGCTTTATTTAAACTATTATTATTAGTAGTAATATTTTATTGAATTTTATTTTTAGATGAAGCATTGCCAGCCATTTTGAGTTTTTAACTCGGATTTCTTTCGTCTTACTTTCACTTGCTTTATTTAAACTATTATTATTAGTATTAATATTATTTTGAATTTTATTATTATACCAATCGTTACTCGCTATTAGTAACTTTTGACTTGTATTTCTTTCATCTTAATTTTACTTGTTTTTATCGCATCTCTTCAGTCTGTCAGTCTTTGATAAAATTAGCAATATTCAATGAAAATGGCGAATAATACTAATACCCGAACGTACTTTTTTGGGGGGTTTGTTACTTCGGGAAGTTTTGGTTAATTGTCACACTTGCTTCATCATTTGAGCTATGACCGACCGATAGCATGGGGAATATGAAATTTAACCATGTAGACTTATTTTGCCTTTTGCCTCGGCCCTTACGCATTGTATTTGTTATTGGTTTTATTTACACTAAGATTATTTTAGCAATAATAATATTCTCATAATGTGATCTTTTTTATGAGATGAAGCGTTGTCGATTTATTAATTAATAATAAAAAATCAAATCATAATAATATTGAGTCAGAGTATTTTAGATTGTAATCGAACCCCCGGTCCTGATCTCCAGTTTTCCCCGAAGAACAAACATAATTCTCTGACACTAGCGATTGTCACTTCTCTGATATTTGGAGTCAACACGGAGATTCCAAAGGCGGATTTTAGAAGTCATTGCTGTATAAAGAGCACCACTCCATTCTTTTGCCATGTAGCGTTATAGATGAATAACTATTTAATAAATGAGCTTAACGTGGCTTACAAGGCCACACATATAGGGCATTCAATGCAGATTCACTTTCTTTCTTTCTTTCTTAGTCTGCGAAGGTCCTTTTGTTGGACCCAGGCCTTACCTGAATCCATGGGGGTGGGAGTGAACTATTCGCCAACCGCGGTGGCCCAATGTGTGTTGCAAGTACGGATGTGACACGCATACGTGTCTTTTCGAGTTATGGTTTGCCCGAGTATCTCTGCGCGTAAGTGAATGTAGTGAAGCCGAGTGGAATTCGAACTTGGATCTCCGATTTCTCACTTCGAGTTGTAATCCATTACACCACTCGCACGGTATTCCCAAATAGTTACCCATCTAGGTACTGATTAGGCTCGACTTTGCTTAACTTCGGTGCTCGAACGAGAACTAGCAAGTAACAATGGTCTCTTGAATCGTTAGGGAATACGGCAGATAGAAGAAGAAACCTTCATCCCCAGTGAGGCTCTCAGAAACAACTACTGACTTCATTTGATCAATTTGGAGACATTTTAGGATTGGTGTATGTCATTGGGTGTGAGTATATCGGTTAGCGATTCGGAAACAGAAACCAACGAATTGAGTTCGAATTCTGGTCGGGTTCGTTATGTTTATTTTTGCACAAATGACTTCGGTAAAGGTATGAGGACAGCTGTTCTTCACACTCCCATCTATCGTTTAAATCGTAGGGCCGACTGGGTTCTCTTGATTTCAGGTGGCAACTTATCAAGAAAAAAAACCTCTGAATTCAAAATTAACCTAAAGAGGGATGGGCTCCGTCAGACCATTTTGCTCTAGATACCATTGCTGCTAGGGTCATTAATGGTTTAATATTAAAGGCGTAATATTAAAGCTACTATTTTGTGTGCTTGTTATCATGTTCTGTGCTGTTGGATAATAAAGCGTCCTGGGTAAGATGATAGACTACATCCGGCAGCTAGGCCTCCGATCAGAAGGTTTTGCGAAGCGTAGAACCACCTTTTAATTGTTAGTGTTCCCAGGTCCACCCTGACCCTGGGCTGGTAACACATGTTAAGGTCCCAGCTATGGGAAAATAATTAACCTCCCGAACTGGGGTCAAAACACTGTGAAAGCGGAAAAATAGATTTTAATATCAGCAATACATTTTTTGAAAAAAAATATTACCAGCAATACATTTTCGAAGGAAAAAAATATTACCAGTAATAAATTTTTGAACAAAAATATTTCCAGCAATAAGAATCTTGTCGGCATTAAATAACCCATTCAAGTTGATATACCGTAAAACAAAACGAACCAAACTAAACCTGGATAATAATGTTAGATAATCTCAAGTTGATGATTTTTACTGAGTGCGCCATTATGGCAGCCTTATTAAATCAAACTGAATACATATTAGATTGGCCAAAACCTTCTATCGTTTCATATCACTAAGAGAAATTAGTTTCAACCCTATCGTAGGCAGTAAGTAGCGTTTTTACCCGCGAACAACTTTTAGTTGACAGTTTTCCTTTTGCAGTTGAGGTATTGCCTTGAAACTCCGGATACTTTACTAAAATCCTTATAACAGAATGGAGTTTTGTTTTGATAGAATCCCACTTTGTTTTTGCAAACAAACGAAAAAAAATACTCATTTATTTTAAAGATTACAACAAAAAATTGTGCTGTGAACAAATTAATAGGAATAGACAGGTTAGCCTATCGCCCGGTTAATATAGTCTTTTGGACAGGAGTAGAGCTTTATCCCTTGTTTCCTGTTTATGATCGGGTTTCCGGTTCCTTCTAAATTCTTCTCATTCTCTTTCACTCTCAGTAGACCCCCAACTTCCTTCTTAGTGGTATTATTGTATTGTTTGGGGTGGAATGATTTACTAAAAAATAGAATGTTGTGATAAATGTTGTTTATTCTGTGTTAGTGACCTTGAATTTCCGAAAATGGATAGTCCCATGGACTGTTTGCACATGGAAATCCAAAAATAAAAAAATGCGTATAGTGTTATAATTATGTCAAATATTATCGTACTGCTGAAAGAAATAACGACACAGGAAAACCTCTGTTAGAATAGACATTGAATACAAATTGGAACCGAAGATGAAATTATTCATTGAAATCAAAATTGTAATAAATTTGTTTCATAAACATATGATGAGAATTGTAACTTAAACAAACCAATACAATAATAAAGAAAAGTTTTATTCATAAAAAAACATTGCGAAAACATCTTTTCATGAACAGAAAGAAAAATATAAATCATAAAATCATATCTTCGTTAGTCAAGTGGGGATCACGACAAAACGACGTCTGCCTCCCCTAACAACAGAGTTACGACTGCGCCACACCGCGTGCTTCACACCTCCACTGAGTCTGGAAAATTTTTATTCTTTAAATATAGCCACAATATATTTCCATGAATAGAAAGAAAAAAAATAAAATCAATGAAAACATGACTTCGTTAGTCAGATTGGGGTGACAGGACACCTCGAAGACGACAAAGCGACGTCCGTCTCTCACAACAACAGAGTTACGACTGCGCCACACTGCATGCTACATACCTTCACTGTGTCAGAAAAAGTTTTATTCCTTAAATATAGCCACAATATATTTTCATGAACTACGTTCGCTAGTAAGTTTTGGGCATTAGTTCATTTCATTTATCTGCTTAATAAACGAAATGAATTAATGCTAGCCTGTGATCATAGAAAAAAAATCTCTCTTAAAATATTTTAATTCTGGATAAATATCCAAATTTCGCCTTCACTTCCCATATTTTAGGCTATATATTGATTAGCCACAATTAACCATTTTAACACATATTATCTCTCAAAGTGTCACCCCCTCCTTCCCTTTTTAAACTTTGAAATTACTTTTAATTTTTTAATTTCTTTTATAATGACCCCTATCTGCATCCTATTATCTGTATTTACACACCAATATTAAATTTAACTTATTTTAAATTTGATTTGTGAAACTGTGTGTAATTTAGCATTTCTCCCATGAGACCCAGTATATTATTATTTAAAAAAAAAAATTATATGTAATATTTCGTGGCTGATGAGTTGGTAAAACAACGAAACTGAAGTCGCACCCCAAACGTAGGTATATGCATATTTATTAATATGTATATATAAATAAACACTTATACACTGTTAGTTGGCGTTTTAGTTATCATTATCACGCCGGTCAACATTACAAAATAACCATAGACCATTTTGAGAAATAAAAAAGAAGCATAAACTAATGCGCATATATATATATATATATATATATATATATATATATATATATATATATATATATTTATTTTAGTTTATGAAAAACTAGGTAATCCGTATGGGTAAAACCTAAGTAGGATAAAATCCAGAGAGCTCAATGTAAATCCAGAGCAAATAATTTAAATCATATATATATATATATATATATATATATATATATATATATATATATATATATATATATATATATGTAATTATGTGGTACATGCATGCGAGTATTTAATTTTCCATTTTCTATTGAATATGGAATTATCTACACTATTTACATTATTTGGACTATTGTCCTCATCTTTGTCGCCATATTTAGTTGGAATGGTTAGATCCAGTGAGAAAACACAAAGGGTGTGAGTTCAATACCTGGTTAAGTCGGTGGAAACTTGGAGAGGGGAATTAACAGGAGATAACTGACATCCATTAGACATGGCATGTGGAACGAGAACAGTCTACCCCAGTGAGCGAAATAAAGGTTTCAGTTCGGCAGTCCAACCACCTGAAGAAGGCTGGAGCGTACAACGGTCGAAACGTTGTAATAAATATGGCGACAAAGATGAGGGCAATTGCCCGAATAATGTAAATAGTGTACATAATACCTCATCTCAGAAATATAGACAGATACTGATAGAATTATCTATATCTTAACACATATTTTAGAAATGTCAACCTTACACTCGCACACGTATATAAGAAGCAAGCACAAAAATCTAAGCATACATACACAAAACAAAAACACAACACACACACACACACACACACACACACACACACACACACACACACATATATATATATATATATATATATATATATATATATATGCCTTCACACATGCTCTTTACCCCTCTCTCTTACTCGTTTTTGTATCTCTCTCAAACACCATCAATGCTATCAATTCTATCTATCTATCTATCTATCTATCTATCTCAATCTGTTTACATCTATCTATCTATCTATCTATCTCAATCTGTTTATATCTATCTATCTATCTATCTATCTATCTATCTATCTATCTATCTATCTATCTCAATCTGTTTACATCTATCTATCTATCTCAATCTGTTTACATCTATCTATCTATCTATCTATCTATCTATCTCAATCTGTTTACATCTATCTATCTATCTATCTATCTCAATCTGTTTACATCTATCTATCTATCTATCTATCTATCTATCTATCTATCTAAATCTGTTTATATCTATCTATCTATCTATCTATCTATCTATCTACTGCGCGAGAAAAAGTAGCCAGCTGAAAAATCAGCTTTGAACAATGTAGTCAGGTGCTGACATGTAATAATGCATTGGGCGCTGAAAAGTTATCGACCCAACCCACATTAAATAGATTAAATAGCCAAATACAGAAGTCTTTATTTTGTAAGGTATTCTGAGAATTTTTCAGCACTATTTCTTTTATCTGTTTATCTCTCTCTCTCTCTCTTTCTCGCTATCTATCTATCTATCTATCTATCTATCTATCTATCTATCTATCTATCTATCTATCTATCTATCTTCGTTTTTAAAAAGAACATCATTTTTTTTTGTTGTTTAAGAATATTTTAATTTGATTTTTCTAGAATCGGACCAAATTTTGTCTGGTTTCCGGGGACACGCATTCTGTTTCTTTGGCCGTTTTCGAGTTTCGATTCTTCGCGCGTCATGTCGACGTGATAATGTAATGATCGTTTAACCAATGCATTCGCGGAAAGCAAAACAAACGAAAAGACATCACAAAGCAACGGGCGAAGGATCGTGACTAGAAAAAAATTCGATATGATAACCACTGCTGATCAATCACGTGACACTTGCAAACCATTAAAGAAACAAAATGCATACCTAATACAGAAACGTAACAATCCACGACAATGGCTTTTGAAAGGCGAAAGTGATCAAAAGACATTGTGAAATTTATGTTCAATTTATCCCTGGTAAGCATAAAAATGGTTAGGAGAGAAGAAAAATAAAACCAAATAAATTTTGTTGGTTTTCAATGCACACACACACACACACACACACACACACACACATATATATATATTTTTTTAAAGACGTCTGACAAGGTACTGCGACTAAGGTATTTATATCATTTTTCTTGTGTCAGTACACGTGCTTTCTTTTCTGGACACAAAGTGTGTAAAAACTGTCCTT